GAGTTGCGTGGCTGCAGCCTCCTCCAGTCCCGGAGCACTGGAGAGGAGAGTCAGGTGGCGCAGTCCAAGCCTTCCCAGGGCGCATCTGCTGGCATGACTCCCAAGCATGAAGACCCCCCCTTTGCAGCCGAGCCGCCAGCCCCAGAGCTGGGCATTTGACATGGCTGGAGCACCCCCAACACCCAGTGCTGGGTGGCCACAGTGGCCACAGCGCCGGGAGGACAGGCAGCGTGGCGCAGCCCCCAGCCTGCCTGCCCCAGCCTCTGGCATGGGAACAGGAGGCAGGAGGGGGCCTGGACTCTGGTGGAGCCTGGGCGGGGGCACATGAGGCAGTTTGGGAAAGCAACGCCTTCCCCTGCCTATGATACCTGTCGCCCATGCATGTGGCCCAACAACCATAGACAGGTGTGAGCTGTGGTGAGCGGGTGGTTCTTCACATGGGAGATTAGGGCTGACATGGCTTGGAAATGCACCTCTGGAAGAAAGGCTCTGGCTTGCATGGAGTCGAGAACAGGCCCAATGAACTCTATTAGTTGTATCAGCCTCAAGGTGGATTTTTTCTCATTTATCAACAGGCCCAGGTCGTGGCAGGTGGAACACACCAAATCGAAGCTCCTCTACACTTGTTCCTGAGATCTGCCCTCAATGAGCCAATCATCTAGATACAGGAAGACCTGGATCCCTTGATGCTTCATGTAAGCGGCCATTAGCACCATACATTTTGTGAACACCCTTTGGGCTGATGAGAGGCCAAAGGGCAGTTCCGTGAACTGGAAATGGCATCCGCTGACTATAAAACAGAGCAAATGTCTGTGGCCTTGGAATATGGAAATAAGCGTCCTTCCCGTCAAGGGCGGCATACCAGTCTCCCGGATCCAGGGATGGTGGAGCCAAGACCGACCATGCGAAACTTCAACTTCTTGAGAGACTTGTTGAGGCGTCACAGGTCCAGAATAGGTTCAAGGCCCCCTTGTGCTTTGGGGATTAGGAAGTAGCAGGAGTAGAACCCCTTTCCTTCCATGTCCCAAGGGACCTCCTCCACCACCCCCAGGTGCAGTAGGTTTTCGACCTCCTGAATGAGGAGTTGCTCATAAGAAGGGTCCCCGAAGCGGGACAGGGAAGAGGGGGCATGGTATGGAGAGGTGGCCGAGAATTGCAGGATATAGCCCCAAGATACAATCTCTAGCACCCAGCGGTCTGAGGTGACCTGTGACCAGGCCAAACGGTAGGGATGGAGATGGTTGAGGAAAGAACAAGGTGGATCGGGGGAGTTGACTGGGGTGTCGCTCTTGAGTGTACCTTCAAAATGAGTACTTCTGGCCCCCTGGATGCTTTGCCAGACTGGGTGAGTAGGAGGAGGAATGGTGGCGACGACTAAAGCTCATTGTTAGGATATAGATATTCAGGCCTGTCGGTAAAGACCTATACTTTAAGAATGTAGGTGCATTCTTATCACTTAGCTAGTTATAGAGGTACAAAACAAGAATCAAAATCACAGTCTGCCTGTGTATGGGCCTTCTCGCACTAGGATAGTCTAAGGCCTTGTTCTTAGGCTAAGGCCTTTGGCTAAACAGCAGCGGCAGCCATAAGCTGGGAAGCGAACGGTCACATCCTCACTTGTCACATTGAAATAAGGCAATTTTGGGCTGTTAAAAAGATGATCCAATCTATCACCTCCAGAGAAAGGGAAGAGTCTAGAAGATTTAAAGAAAACTTAGTTTGACAGCATCCTGTCTGGCAAGAACCCACTTATCAATAGTTGTGATTGTGAAACACTCACTTCTTATTATTTTGTCTTTATGGTCTCCACTTCTCTACTGTTTATCTGTATGGTCTCTGTCTGGTTCTTTGATTAATTATACAGCAGACAGAAACAATTTTGCTGGGTGTAAACCAATTAAGGTGGTGGGATATAATTGGTTAGATAATCATGTTACAATATGTTAGGATTGGTTAGTTAAATTTCAGTAAAATGATTGGTTAAGGTATAGCTAAGTAGAACTCTCAAGTTTTAATATAGAGACTGAGGTCAAACAGGAAGTAAGGGGGGAAATAGGAATCATATTTTGCTAAGGGGGGAAATGGGAACAGGAACACAGGCAGGGCTCTGAGGCATCAGAGCTGGGAAGGAGGACATGGGGTAAATGCTCTGCGATGTCAGAGCTGGGAACGGAACACTGAGGAAGGAAACTGGAATCATTGCTTGCTGGAAGTTAACCCCAATAAACATCGAATTGTCTGCACCTCTGGACTTCGGGTATTGCTGCTTTCTGTTTACGTGAGAAGGACCAGGGAAGTGGGAGGGTGAAGGGATAAGCCCTCTAACACTCATGTCTCTATCCCTTCTCCTCACAGACCCCTATCGAGGTTGTCGAGCTTTGGTGGAGGGGGCGGCTAGAACTGCTTCCTTGCAGACTGTGGTGTATGGAATCCTGAATGTCCTTTAACCCATGCACCCTCGCATACGTCTGCTCTGCAGAGTCCATTCCCATCAAATGGGAGATCCTGGACTGAGGCCTGCATTTCTTGGGACAGGCCAGTGGTCTGAAGCCAGGAGCTGTGCCTCACGACCACCACCGATGAGACCACCCTCGCTGCCAAGTCAGCCACATCTCACGCCATTTGAAGAGAGCACTTTGCTGCCGCTGTACCCTCCTCCACCAGGGTGCCAAACTTCTGGGCCAAATCCTGGGGCAGGGACTCCTTGAACTTATGGAGGTTGTCCTACAAATTGAAATTGTACCTGCCTAAGAGAACTTGGTGGTTTGCCACCCAGAATTGCAAGCTGGCCATAGAATAAATCTTCCTCCCAAAAAAGGTCCAGTCTCTTAGCCTCTCTATTTTTGGGGGTTGAACTGGAGTGCCCCTGCTTGTCCTTTTCGTTGGCCGCAGAGGTGACCAACAAGTCCTCCCTTTGGCTGGGACGTAGTACTTTTTCTCAGCCCTCTTGAAGGTCAGAGGGATGGATGAGGGGGTCTGCCAGAGGGCCTTGGCAATTTTTAGGACCCCATCATGCACTGATAGTATGACACAGGCAGGGGTAGATGCCCAAGATTACATTGAACAGGGTGCTCAGCCATCTCCTCTGGCTCTAGGCCCAAGTTCATGGCAACCCGTCAATGCAGTGCCTGTGCTCTTTAGAATCACCCGGCAGGCTGGCTCTCGAGGGACCCGCCACCACCTCGTCCGGAGATGAGGATGATGACTGTATCACTGGGGAGGCCCTGGGGCATTATGCCCTGTGGAGGAAAGGGGTTTTGGAATTGGTGCTGGCTCCTCTACCACAACCTCCAAGTGCATTTCCTGCACCGAGACTGGTGCCGCTGGTGCTGTCAACTGTTGCTGTGAGGCAGCAGCAGATGAGTGGTGCAAAGGGGGCATCGGCATCTGCATCACAGGCATGCCCCATGCACTGCAATAGGGCCACTGTGCGGGCCACTGGCCATGTTGCCAAGGTGGCACTGTAGAGGTTGACGCAACCTTTGGTGCCCAATCACGCCGGTGATGCCTCAGCGAGGGGCTAACCTCCCTTTCCATGTGGGAGAAATCCCCTTCCGGTGACAATGGTGGGGACGTCAATGCCAGCATTTGCCGGCTGACCATCGCCGCTGGAGACCACCTCTTTGAATAGGAGGACTGGGGTTGGGGGGACCGGTACTATGATGGAGATCATTCCCATCTGTGCCAAGAAGATGACTGGCAGGAGGGTGAATGGTGCCGGTAATACGGTGACCGTGCCTCCCACTAGGTGACCCATGTCAAGAAGGCAGAGACTGCGAACGCAGTGCCGGTGATCTAGGGCGAGCCCCAGAGGATCTGGGCTGTGAAGCCAGAGATCTGCAACATGGAGTCAGAGAGCACTGCCTTGGCTCAGGGGATTGGTGACGCTCAACTGCTCTGTGGGGTGTCTTGGCGGCTGGCTTGCCCTCATAGAGAGCCTTTGTCGCGTCCTATGGCACATGCAGTGCCGGCAGCACTGGTAGAGGTCTCTGCTCTCTAGGCTCCAGGAGAGCCTGGGAAGGCATTGGTCCAGCCACAAGTCTGGGTCCCCTACTGCTCCCGGGAGCCAGTGGCAGATCCTTTGGAGGGACTAGGGGCCCCGACTGGGGTGGCACGTCCATGTGGCTCTGGTGTGGACGGGTGGCCCAAACTGGGACTTTTGCCTGAAACCCCATGGCCTTTCTTGCCCAGCGCCAGGGAGCCGTGTTTTTTGGTCTTCTAGGGTACCGGCGATGGAGAGCGGTGCCAGACAGAGCCCAGTGCCAGGGCTGTGCTACAAACCCAGGCCAAGGTACTAGGGGTAGAGTCTGGCCGGAAAGGCTCAGAAGCTGGGCAGAGGACAGCCTCCATGAGGAGAGCCTGCAAACAGATGTCACACTCTTTCTGGGTCCTGGGCCAAAAGTTTTTACAAATAAAGCACTTGTCCTTCACAAGTGATTCCCTCAAAGCACTTCAGGCAACTGTCATGGGAGTCACTAACAGGCCTAGGCCTGTTGCAATCTGAGCAGGGCTTAACCCCCAGAGAGCATGGGGCATGCCCTGCCTGGGGCGAAGTCCCTGATGGGAGTCTAACTTCTAAACATACTTAACAACTACTTAACACTAACTACTATAAACAAACTATTTACAAGGTTCTAAGGCTCGAAGTAAGAAGAGACAAAACTGCTAGTTCTTGCTAGGCCAGGAAAGTTGCTAAGACTAACCATCACAGGTGGTAAGAAGGAACTGAGAGGGCATAGGGTCGGCGGCGCCTGATATACTGACACATGAGCACGGCACAATAGGGTGCCACAGCCGTCCCTACGGACACTGCTAAGGCAAAAATCTCTGACGACTGTGCACATGAGCGCGCACATACCTAGAATAGAATCAACATGAGCAAGCACTGGAAGAAGAACTAATTGTTGTTATAAGGAAGTTATATTTACTTTCTAAAGATAAAATCTCAATAAACTGTCTTTCCCTACTTTTGTGGTTTTCTTGCACTGACTTCAGATGAACAAAAAGACAGAAAAAGTGACTGCATTCTTCGACAGTTCTTCAAACAGAAGGGAAGAACTGTAAACTGCATTTTTGAAAAACAAGTCCGCTCCAGGTGAATGAGTGGGAAACAATCCATTGCACGTGTCACAATTTCTTCTTCTTGAATCTCAAACAAAAAGTGGAACAATTCAAACTTCAACTTATTTTCGTTCCGGTCTTTAGAGGACAGAGATGCCAATGCTATGCCTACTTCTTCAACCCAGTTCAGTACTTTGGGCTTTGTTTCAAGTGAAGTTTTATAGCCTAAGCATTTCTCAATCTCCTTCATTCTATCTATGTTTAAGAGACCAAACAGGAAACGCACTGTTAACATTAAATAATCATTTTTAGGTTCTTCTTAACTTTGTAATAGTTTAGACACATCTTTTGTAACTATCACTGACTCTTCCACTGTTTCTTCCTCTTCCTCCAGTACATAAAACAAAGCTGCAAAAAAATCTTGAAAACTTAGGTGAATGAAGCTGTAGGCATGTTCACAGTCAATATCTTTTTGAAAAATGCTCTTGTTGAGAAAGAGGGATTGAATATTGGATACATCTAAACCATGCTTCTTGAGATCATCTTCTTCAAACAGTATGATCTTTCGCCAGACTCCTTCTCTGGCTAAGGAGCACAACTTTCTGAGATTAGTTTGTCTGGAATGCTTTGACATGCAGCTATGATCCCTTAATAAACTGGACAGACAGAGCATATACACTGCAGTGATTGTTTTTGAAGTTTGTGTGAGATCTTCACCTTTTTCCATCTGTTGTTTGATCACAGTGCAGATAACCAACATACAATTGGAACAAAACACATTGTAAAGAGAATTTCATTCTCTATTACAAATCCAAAAGCTTGTGCTGCTTGTTTTGTATCTTCAAAGAACTTGTGGAAATACTCCTCCCTGTCTTCCTCAGAAAATCCCAAGATTTCTGCATAACACGGAAACTTTAGACAGTTTTGGAGTTTTTCCAGAGCAGTCAGTCTTGTTGTGATCAGTAAGAATGATTTTGGAAGAACTTTTTTCCTAAATAAACTGCCCAATATGATTTCCACTGGCTGCTTCTCACGGGGATCAATTAGTGCATAGATTAGTGATTTGTTCATCAAATGAAAATTTCAGTTCATCAAAACCATCAATTATAAAAAGGAGTTTTTCTGGATCCATCAAAATATCTTTAATTGGCGCATTTCTGTCAGGGCAATTGTTTAAAATCAAATCAGCAACACTTATCTGCTTGGTAGACAGGTTCATTTCTCGGCAGCTTATGTAGAAAACATAATCAAATCTGCCAGGGCAGATTTTTTCAGATGCCCAGTCCAACATGATCTTTCTTACTGTCATTGTTTTCCCAATCCCAGCAGCTCCCTGAAGCACAATGGTTCATGGTGTTGGTCTGCGTTTATCAATGTCAAACAAACTTTCTATCTTAGTTGGAGTAGCTGTCTTAGCCAGGATCTCTGCATGTCTCTTTCCTGTTGCCATTATTTCATGTTGTTTGGCCTCCCAATGGCGATGTTCCTTTACAATAAGCAGCTGTGTGTATCTTCCGTTTAGACTCACACACTCACCCAGACGAGCATTCCTGTCTTCTATAAATTGGTATTCTTCCTGTATATTCTCACTGTATGTCATCCTGTAATCTAATTCAGTTACATGAAGCATGAGAAACATTGAGTATACAATACAAAAAACATTCAACAAAAGGAAAGGCATTACAATGAAGCCATTTAGTTGGACATGAAATCCTGAAACACTAGGTCATAGGATGTCAGTAATGGCCGTGTGACTACAGCACAGACCACTCCTAGGGGATGAATGATCAGCTGGGTCTCATGCCATGAAGTCACTCCCTCACTCACACAATTCCACTGCTGCTCAATCCTCACTGATTATACAACATACAAACTGGATAACACATACCATTTGCTGATGTCCCAAATGATTTTGGATTAGGGCCCAGGGCTGAAAAAGAAATCATATGTTCAGATATTAAGTCACACAGTCAGCTGTCAGCAAATGTATATCCAGAGTGTTAATGGACTTTAAAAAGAATCAAAAGCGTGAGAACAATGAAACACTAAAAAAAGAAAACAAATTATTAACATAGAGGACGATGGTGCATGGGGTGAACTGTGATGTCCTGCTCAAGGGAACCAAACCTATGAGCCACTGTGTACCTCTCTGCCTTGGAAAGAGTGAGAGTGTTTCTACTAAGCTGTGTCAGATCCCTGTGTGTCTGTGTGCCTTGCCAGCACACTCTTCAAGACACTGCCAGTTTCAACCTTGCCTTGCAGATAACTCCAGCTCCCGAGTTCCCCAGAGATGTCTCCCAGCAGCATCCAGTACCTCTCACTGGACACTCACGGAAATTGTTAAGATTTATTGCTGCCTCCCAAGAGACAGAGCACACACCAGCCTGTTAGGTTAGCCAAAGACTCTCACTTCAATTTAATCCACAGCACTGAGATGGTTTGGTAATAAAACAAGATAAGTTTATTAACAAAGAACGGAGATTTAAGTGATGCTAGCAAGATATCCACTAGGTGATCCCTCTTAACCATGCCATGTGTAATTTCAAGAGAGATCCCTAAAACCAGACAGACAGGCAGTGAGAATTATATTACAATTGTCTCTAAAATAGGAGCATGGCCATGTATGGAAGAAAAAAAATACTGTCAGCAGGAAAAATCTCTCAGACAATTGAATGTCTAAGGATATTCACTTGCTCCTCACGTGACCCTTTGGATTCGACTCTGTAACTTGCATTGTTTTTATCTCAGAGTGATATGGGCAGCACCAAAGGGACTCAGAAGACAGATCATCTAGACGTCTGTGACATCGTAGTTTCCTGGCTGGAGGTTTAGCTATTCTAACTGTTTTAGCTTTGGTGGCCTCACTGCACAACAGAATCTAATACACACTAATGAGGGAACACACATTTCAAATAACTCATTTCTGCAAATTAGCAACTAAGGCCCCTCTCCTCCAAATAGAGCAGTGGTCTCCAACCTTTTTACATCCAAGATCACTTTTTGAATTTAAGGGCAACTCAGGATCTACCCTACCCCTTCCACGAAACCCCGCCCTGCTCACTCCATCCCCCCCTCTCTCTGTCACTTGCTCTTCCCCACCTTCAATCACTTTCACTGGGCTGGGGCATGGGGTTGGGGTGCAGGAGGGGGTGCTGGCTCTGGGAGGGGGGGATCAGGGCTGGGGCAGGGGTGGAGGAGGGGGTATGGAGTTCT